TGCAGCTGAGCAGCTGTGAGAACGAGACCGAAACCGAGGCCCTGGCGGCCACCCACCCCCAACCCACCGCCCCCGCCAGCACCTGGGCCTGCGTGGACTCGGGCAGGGCCGAGATGCTGGCGGCCGGGCTGTAGGGCTGCAGCTCGAGGAGAAGACACCCCGGGAACAGGCGGGGCCCCGGCTGGCTGGGCACGGTGGACAGGGAGAGCCACGCGCCACGGCTAGGGCCTCCAGACCGAGGGGCCGTGCAGAGTCCACCACAGTCAGAGGCTGCCCATGCCCTGCAGTGTCCACTTGCCGGCCAGAGCCCCCCACCCCACGTCTGTCTCTTTTATGAAACCAGGGCCCGAGGACACACGATTGGGCCTAGGTCCCAGGCTTCCCTCCCGGGCCCTGAGCCAACAGGACCACCGGGGCCACCTGATGGCAAGGACGGGGGACAGGGGCCACCTTCCCAGCCCAGCCTCCACGCTGTGGCCGTTACAATACAGCCTGGAACGTCGGAGGCCGCTTCCCCACGAGTCATAGGGGGCAGGGGGCAGGAGTGGGGTGTCCTGAGGGTAGCTGGGGGCTGCGCAGACGCCACGAGAGAGTGGGGGGAAGGGGTGGGGGAGGGCAGCCGCCAGCCTCACCTATGCAGGCGTCGTCCTCCCGCGCCCAGCCCACTTCGCACTGGCCGCAGTCTCTGTTGGTAGGGCCTGTGCACGTCTTGCAGGACTCGTCACAGGCTGGAAGGCAGAGGTGGGATGGCCGTCAGTACGTGGGGATCCCGTCTCAGGAGTGAACTCGATGCAAAGGGCGTTTCGGAAATTAGGAGCTGACATTCATAGGGTAAAAACAAAAACCGCAAACCAGCAAAAAATCCCAGCGGAGCAAGATACGTTCAACGACAGAGAAACTCGTGTGATTCACAACATCCCTGAACTTAACGAGAGAGGAGAACACACGAGGATTTCCACGCCCAGGGGTGATAAAATTCTCAGCAAACGAGGACTCCAGAGGAATTGCTCGTAACCTGGCAGAGGTAGCCTCCCAAATGCTGGAGCCCACACCCAGCTGGGTGTGTGCATGCCGCCCGCCAACACGCGTGGACGTTCTGGGCCCGGGAAAGGCCTGGGGGTAGGAATCGGAGAGGCTGGCCTCCCAGGCACCCAGCACATTCTCCACGGGGATGCCCAAGGGAGCGCAGCCTCACCGCCAACCCTGACGGGAGAATTCAACACGACTGCTGACGCCCAAAAGGTCTTCCTGTACATCAGTGACAACCAACGAGAAAACACATCGAGACAGGGCGTGCCTCACGGCTTCCTCCCTGGACTTACACATCTACACCCCGTCAGAGGATGCCATCCTGGGCTGACGCAGCCTCACGAGCAGGGCATGGGCCTCCCCAACCGAAGGGAGAAGCGTGCCCATCACAGCCGAGAAGGCTCCACCCGTGCAACCCCACGGCCCATCTCAGAACTCACGGGGGCGCCCAGAACGACAGCCAGGGCACCTCTGAAGACCCAGGTGGGAGAGCCCACCTTACCCGACACCAGGGTGACCAAGACGGCGCGTCCTCTACACGGGGACCTGGGGCCAGGAGGTCACACTGCGTGGCCTCCGCTGTCCCGGTTCTCACCTGGGCCACCTCCCCACCCTGCTGGTGCCCTGACGTGGCCAGACTCGGCCCTGCCTCTGCTCACTCCGAGACCCTAAGCCTGAGTGACAGCGGGGACACCAGCCTCTGATCCCCGAGTTGCGCCCAAGGACAGCCGAGCCTCCTGCTGGGACAGCCACGGGGAGAGCAAGCTTGGGCCAGACACCCCAGGTGCAGGTCCGGGGCCCCGGGACCAGCGTGGACGTCACAGAGCTGTAGGTGCCACACTGTCCACCCTCCAAGCCCTTCTCCAGAAGGACATCGCGGGTAAGCAACTCACACGTCCCTCCTGGGGCTTGTTTGGAGACAGGAAGCGAGACCATCCCTGGCTGCTGGTCCTGTCATGTCCCTTCTTACGTCGTACAAGGGCCCACGCCTTCCCCCTCAGCTTCCAGAAGCCTGGGTCAGCTGTCACCGGGTCCCCCTCCCATCTACACAGGCAGCTCTGGGTACCTGAGCAGATGCTGTGCGTCTCATTCCTCAGTGAGTTGAAGTAGCCGTCCATGCAGTCAGCGCACAGCGGTCCCCGGTACCCCAGGTGGCACTGGCACGACCCGTCGCCCTGTCTGCTGCCATCTCCGCTGCAGTGACCGTTCCCGCTGCAGGGCCGCTCGGACCCGCCCTGGCACGCTGCGGGGACCCCGAGCCCACTCAGAGCGCACCCCGCGACACATTCGTAAAAACAGCTCTCTGTGTCTCGCTTCAGCCCTTCTGTCTGGGAGCGCAGGAGCCCCGCGCTGGCGAGGGGTCTGGAGGAGGTGTCAGCTTGCCTCACGCGGGACATGGGGCCAAGGACGGGACAGTGAGGGCCCGTGCAGTGACGCCACACCGGCGGGACAGGCAGGGGCAGCCTCGGCCAGGGTGGGGCCTGAGCGCCGGCATCATGCCCCTTGCCCAGTTGATCCACGTGAACATTCTGGTGACGCCTGGGCGGCAGTCATGGCTTCACTCAGTCTCTTCACCCCCGGAGGCTGGACGCCCCTGGCCCCGGCCTCTCACACGGGCTTCGCTGCTTATGGACCACCTCCCCGCACCCAGAGGGCGGCACCCAGGTGGGCGACCAGGGGGTCTGTGGAGCCCTGAATTAGGAGCATACTTGGGACCAGACACCCAGAGACGAAGATCGCTGCAGCTGGGAGGAGGCTGCACAGGGCCCACGTTCCCACCCGAGCTCCTGCCCAGCCGGGAATCACGACAGGGCTAACCGGAAACACACAGGACGCTCACGAGCCCCCGCAGAAAACTCACCCAGGCAGTCTGGCCCGTAAGTTCCTGGAGCACAACAAACTTTCAGTGTTTCCACACAAAACCATTCAAATAAGTCAGGATACTTCTTCTTCCTGAGGATTTTTAAAGTGTTCAGTAAATCTCACGCGGCAGATTTCCTCAAAACAAAAACACAGTTGAACATGTAACGTGCTTCTGAGTATCGTGGGATCTGGGAGACGAGGGTCTGAGTGCCAAAAGACTCTTCCAGCTGACACCCTCGTCTGGAGGGTCGCACTTTGGTGATAATGGATGGGAACACGGGTACGGAAGAAAACAGGTGTGTGGAAACCCCTACTATTTCTGTAGCTTTTTAAACCTGACATCATTTCAAAAGCCAGGAGTCGCTGGCACTGGTCCCCGGGGACGCAGGCACTCACAGCCGCAGCCACCAGGTCTCCAGGAGTCCCTCGTGCTCCTCCAGCAGCTGGTTGCACTCGAAGTCGCTGGTCCCACACAGGCCCTCCATGATCTCCAGCAGGCGGACCTCGCTGAAACACAAGGCTGTCAGCACGGCGAGGCCGGGGCAAGGGGCACCTCAGTGGTCAGCGTCCATTCCCCAGGGATGTCCCGAGGCCCCACCTGCAGCCAGGCCACGACTACAGTGGCGCTTCAGTGGAAAAAGACCCTCAGCAAACACCCACCTGGGGCCGGGGCTAGTCAGTGCCAGGCAGAGAACTAAACATGGAGGGTGGGGCTGGTCAGGGAGGCCTGTCCGTCCTCACGGTGGGGCTTCGGGTGTGGGGTGTGCCAGGGGAAGCCCTGCAATGGGGCCGGAGGAGGCCGGGGCTCGGGGTGGGGGGGGCAGGAGGGATTTACGCCACCTATGTTTTTAAGAAACCACCGTGTCTGCCGAGTGGAGGGCGAGTGGGACAAGTGTGTGAGCCAAAAGGCCAGCCAGGAGCCAGTGTGCCAGCCCCGGGCAAGGACAGGTGACAAGCCCCAAGAGACGCTCTGTGTCTGTCAACGCTCCCAGGAACACGTCAGGCACCAAAGGCAGGCGCTGGGCCAGTAAGAGCAGGGCGCCCACCTGAATTCATACTTGGACAGCGTCTTTTCCTCCCAAGCCGTGTTTCCACCACCAAAGTTCTTCTTTGCTGTGTCCACCATTCCCTGCGGGGAGACGGCCGCACAGAGCTCAGCACTGCTGCCTCACCTCGTCCATGGTGAGGTGACCGGTCTATGGTGGCGTGACCACAGTTCATGGTGGGGTGACCCAGTCCATGGTGGAATGACCCCAGATCCATGGTGGGATGGCCCAGTCCATGGTGGGGCAACCCTGGGTCCCTGGTGTGGTGACCACAGTTCACGGAGGGGGTAACCCCAGTAGATGGCGGGACAACCCTAGTCCATGGTGGGGTGACCCTGGTCAAGGCGGGGCGACCCCGGCCAGACCCCTGGCCTCGTGTCCCCGCGGGGTGATCGGCCCACCTGGTTGAACTTGTCCACCAGCTCCCGGCATCGCTTGCAGGGCGTTGGCTTCTTGGTGGCCTCGCCGGGCGACAGCAGCGTCAGAAGCAGCAGCCCCAGCACGGCCGGGGCCGGCGGGCGCATGGCTGGCCGACGTGGACAGCGCTGCGGAACGCGGCCGCACGGGCACTGGCCGAGGTCCAGCGGGAACCGGCCGAGCGCTCCGGCCTCCGGCCGCCCACCGGCTCCGAAGCGCCGGCCGGTCCCGGGGCTACTTGACGGCGCCGGCCGGGGCCCCGCCCCGCGCCAGCCCTTCCATCGCTATTGGTCGGCTGGGCCCACCCCGTCCCCATGTGGCCCAATCCGGGCTCGCCACGAGAGGCGACCAATAGGAAGGCCCCGGGTCAGCGTCCCGCCGGGAACGTTGGGCACAGGGGGCGTGGAGATCCGAGCCCGCCCCTCGCGCCGGCCTCTCGCCTGCACCGCCCGCGGCGGCCATCTTTACTCCGGTCAGAGAGGGCGCCCGCCGCGACGGCAGCCGGGGTTTAGTGGCCATGTTAGGTTCGGGCAAGGGCGTCGCCTCTATTCTCGGTTTCCGCCACCCGACTTCCGGCTGAGGCAGCCCAGGCGGACGCGCTTCGAGGGACCGCGCCGTGGGCTGGCGAGGTCAGCGTGCGCGGCTGGGGCTCTCGGGACGGGATGCGGGGACCCCGGGCCGGCGCTCTCGCGGTGCTCCTTGGGCCTCACCGTGCGTGGCCACGCGGGACGACCGTTGGGCTCCTCACCTGGGGGCAGTCTCCTCACCTAGGGTTGGGGCTCCTTGCCCGGGGCCTGATGAGTGTATTTCTGGGGTTCCAGACACGTGCATTTCCCCACGTGCCCGAGGCAATTGGCACTGGAACCCGTGGTTTAAGTTAGGAAGAACGAAGGTGGGCATTACCTGGTTTCTACTAGGACAGAACTGCCAGAAGGAAGCAGTACAAATGATAAGAGTTTTCTCTCGCCGAATTTGTACCAGTTCCTTTGTGTTTCCAGCTAGGGATTAATAACGTGAACATCCGACTTGACCAGTTTCAGTAGAGACCTTAGAATCCGAATAGACGGGGACGAGAAGCCCTTTGCACCTAATCTGAGGGGTCACCGTCCTATAAACGACGTGTTTTAAAGTCGTGGCCTGTTTTGGCCTGTGGGTGCCTCAGATTAACAACCGCAACAGCTGCAAGCAGGTGTGGACGAGTGCACGTGCGTCTGCTCGCCGTCTCGGGCCCGGTGGGGGTTGACCGTGGTTTCTGTACTTGCTTATGTCCTGTTTGTCTCCTCGTGGTCCCGGGTGGGCATGCAGGGTGCCGCTAGCGCCGTCCAACATAAGCTGCTTTGCCGGTTGGTTTCTGCCGTTGGTCATCAGCACAGAGCACACTCTTATCTGGGTGAGAAGCTCCTGGGGCCCGGAGCGGGGTTTGGCAGGTACCTTTTCACCCCACAGCTCGTGAAATAACAGAGTCTAGATCTTCCCGCAGGGGAACCTCCTCTGGGCAGAGGTGTGGAGTGGGGTGTGCGGGGGCTGGCCTGGGACAGCTGTGAGCCCGAGCGAGGTTCCTGCCACGGAGCACCTGCGCAGCTGCTCCAACCGCCTGGCCTTAGAGATGCTTCCTAGTTCTTTAGGCTCTTTTCCCCTCGGACAGTAAGAGAACAGAGAGTAGTAATGAACGTTCCGTGGGCTCTTCGGCTTCACTGGAAATTAAAGCGTGCACGTTTCTTTAATGAAAATGTAAACTGGTGTGATGAGATCCACGCTTAGTTTTTATGAATTTCTTCTTCAAGTAGTTTATTGAGCACCTGCTATGCGCCAGGCTGTGCTGATACAGCAGTGAGTCAGCCCTGCCCTCAGGCTGTGAGCCCAGCAGGGGACACAGATGGCCCCTGTGATGACCAGAGTCCATCCTTGCTGAGGTTACAGTGGGCAGCGGGGGACAGAAAAATCCCGCCCTTACATTTGGTAAGAGGAAAGTTCTGTTACTTCCCTGGGAACTGCACGTTATTTTGGTAATTCTTAGAGCCCTTTGACCCCCTTACTTCCCTCACCTCACCACCGTATCAGACAGGATTCCTGTTCCCCCAGTTGTTGATTCCCCACTTGCTATCCTAGGAGAGTACAGACTTCATACCTCTCCCTCGAACCAAAAAGTAGTTTTAACAAACAGTAAGCACCGTGGTTCTCTCCTTTCACTTCTTGCCCTTCTGGTTTTGATCAAATAAAAGCAAACCTGTTTTCAGACAAGCCAGAAACAGGAAGAGTTTGCCGTCTTCCTTCCCTCGCCAGATTGAAAGATGGAGGTCTTCCACGAGTAGGAACTGCCCCAGACACTTGCATGGTTTTCTCAGGAAGCTTCGTGGCATGGGGTGCCCCCCAAAGTGCTGTTGGTGTTTGGGTGGTCCATTGCAGGCGCATCTGTCTGCATCCCCACCCCCCAGGAACACACTCTTGCTTTCTGCCATATCCACGAGTTTGTGCTCACGACCAGCGTGGTGCTCCCCGGGGCTCTAAGAGGCTCAGGGGGTGAAGTTCAGAACACAGCGGGTGAGTGTCCGCGGCCCTGTCTCACCATCCTTGGGGTGCAGGGCTTTGCTGGCGCCCCGAGCCCTGCGCCTCACCTCCTGTCCTCTCGTGGCTGTCCCTCTGCAGTTCTCCAGGCGCACCCCTCCCGCCCTTCTACTTCACAGCCTCCCGGCCCGTCTCCCTCGGCCAGTACCATGCGGGCCGAGCCCAGCTTGTTCCTAACTCTCCGGCCAGATTTCAGCTTCTCGAGCACGGGGGTCGTCCTGCTGCCCTCCAGTGCCGGGCTGGCCCAGGGCCCGGCTGCACAGTGGACTAAACTCGTGTCCTGCAACTCAGGTCTTTCTTCCTGGAAAAGTATTCGCACAACTTAAAAACGTAAGAAGGCTGGTGAAAGTACGAAAGCTTCTCTAGCATGATTTTCTTTCAGCGTTCTATTTTGATGTGTTTTCAGATTACAGAAGCTGCAGCAGTTCAAAGGATTCCCATTACCCTTCAAACACATTTCCCAGGTGTTAACTCGAGTGTGAGTTTTGAAGCCTGGGGACCTGCGACTCTATTCTCTCAAAACGATTCGAGTGGCGGTGCCGACGGTGGATGAAGGTCCGTGAGGCTGACGTGCAGAATGGCCGGGAAGAGGCCGTCGGGCCTGGGCAAGCAGCGCCGGCTCCTGGGGCTGCTGGTGGCGGTAGCCGCCGTCCACCTGGTTGCCTGCCCCTACACCAAAGTGGAGGAGAGCTTCAACCTGCAGGCCGTGCACGACCTGCTCTACCACCGGCTGGATGTGGACAAGGTGAGTTCCCGCCCAAGCCGTGCATCGACCCCCGCTTCCTGGGGCCTCTGCTGACCTGCCCTTCTCCCCGCAGTTTGACCATCTCGAGTTCCCTGGCGTGGTCCCCAGGACGTTCCTCGGGCCGCTGGTGATCGCGGCACTCTCCAGCCCCGCCGTTTATGTGCTTTCGCTCTTGGAAACGTCCAAGTTCTATTCTCAGCTAGTAGGTAAGGGGGTCTTCAAACGGGGACGGGGTGGAGAACTGCAGTGTCGTCAGAGGGTCTCAGTCACCCAGGTTGAGGGTCCCTCGTGCAGGAGGGTCCACTTGTTGGAATCTCGGCCACTCGGCAGAGGGACTCAGAGTGGGGACAGCGTCAGCCCCGCCGGGCTGTGCCCTCGTGACTGCAGTGGGGGCCGAGCCCCGTCCCCCGAGCAGAAGCAGCACGTTTCCCAGCTGAGTCAAACACATCTCACGGCTGGTTGGTCCGGCCTGTATGGAGAGCTTTAAGAATTGCACATTCCTGGGGAAGAAGCAATTCTGCTTCTTGAAAGATGAGGAAACGGAAATCCACCCTCGCTCTAGGCTGTTGTGGTCACGTGGTGGGGGGCCAGGAAGCCTTGGATGGGAGAGTTGGGGGCCACGTCTGAGCATCAGGTCCTTGGTAAACGTGGCCCTGGAGGTATCGGCCAGGTGGCGGGGCCACTGGGGTCAGTGCTGGGCTGTCGTCCCGATGCTCCTGGCCTGCCCAGCGGCTGAGTGCCGCAGGCCCCCGCCTTGGGATCCGGGGGGCCAGGGTCTAGACTGTCCGTCTTCCACGCCAGCCCATTTTTTTGACAGTTTCAAAAGTTTAATAAACGATGTGACAGGTCACGAAATGTGGCCCACCACACTCAAAATTAAAAGAATTCAGTTAATAGCGAGTGAAACACAAAATGAACAAATTCACCTAATGCTAGTTTCAGTGAAAAATATACTGTCACTTTAAATTAACGTATTTTAGTTTCATTCATTTTACGCGTCTATTTTTTTTAATTGAAGTGTAGTTGGTTCACAATATGGCATTGTATCAGATGTACAGCAAAGTGATTCCGTTATATGTATATTTTCAGATTCTTTTCATTATAGGTTATTATAAGATACTGAATATAGTTCCGTGTGTTATACAGTGTATCTTTGTTAATTATCTGTCTTATATCCAGTAGCGTGTGTCTGTTGATCCCAAACTCCTTTATCCCTCTCCTCCTTCCTCTTTGGTAACCATACCTTTATTCCCTGTGTCTGTGAGTCTGCTTCTGTTGTGTATATAGATTCATTTGTGTCACGTTTTAGATTCCACACGTAAGTGAGTCCATGTGATATTTGTCCTTCTCTGTGTGACTGACTTCACTAGTTTGATCACCTCTGGGTTCCTCCACGTCGCTGCAGTGGCAGGGTTGCCTCTGCTATGGCTGAGTACTATTCTGCCGTGTACACCCAGCCTGTTTTTAGCACCGAAGGCAGCTCCCCTCCCTCAGGGCCATTTCGACACCCGGTGGTCCCTAAGGGCCCCGCCTCACCGCTGTCGCACACACGGCGCCCTCTCTGTTCAGTCAGGGCCGTCCTTGGACTCGGCGTGATCTTTGGACTCTGGACTTTACAAAAAGAAGTGAGGCGGCAGTTTGGGGCCACGGTGGCCACCCTGTTCTGCTGCGTGACGGCCTCGCAGTTCCACCTGATGTTCTACTGCACGCGGACACTCCCCAACGTGCTGGCCCTGCCTGTGGGTATGTAGCTACCTGGCCGGCCTGCCCGGGGGTCCCTCCGAGGTGTCTGCCCGTCGAAAGCTGCTCCCCACCAGGCGTCTCAGAAACCCTGCGAGGGGAGCAGGGCCCTGTCCTCGGTGCTGGACTGAGGCCCGGCTTCCAGGGCTCAGCTTCTCTTGAGCAGGGCCGGAGCTGGAGCTGGTCCGCGGAGCTGGGAGGAGGGCAAGCCGCGTGCGGGGCCGGTACGGACGCTCCGGGAGCCTCGGGAGGCCGAGTGCGGGGAGCAGGGACCTTGGAGGGACCGGGCGGGAGAGGCAGCCGGCAGGAGAGGGGAGGAGGCGGCCGAGGTTGGCGCTGGCCGTGCGAGTGCGAGGCTGAGGAGGAGGCAGGAAGCGGCATGGACGCCGGCGTCTGGGGCCATCTGGGGCCGTCTGGCCTGCGGAAGTGGCTCGGGCTGTGTCACAGCGTAGGACGCGGGCCGGGCGGGGGGGACTGTCGCGGTGCAGCCTCGGGCCTGCGTTGGCGGGTCTGGTTCTGAGAGGTGCTGGCTGTCTTCTGGAGGGTTCTGTGTGGCTTTCCCGAGGGAGGAGTAAGCGGCCTGCCTCTTGGCCTGTGCCTTACAGTCCTGCTAGCCCTCGCAGCCTGGCTGCAGCAGAGGTGGACGCGCTTCGTCCGGCTCTCGGCCTTCGCCATCCTGGTCCTCAGGGCCGAGCTGAGCCTGCTCCTGGGCCTGGCGCTGCTGCTGCCGCTCTGCCTGCGGAAGGTCTCGGTGGCCCGGGCCCTGCGCTGCGCCGTGCCGGCTGGGATCCTCTGCTTAGGTGAGTCGGGTCACCGTGGCCGCGCTGTCGGGGGCCTGTGCTTTCTTTGTCTTGTTTTATGGAGACGAAACTCGGGAGGTTTTCTTATTTTTGTTTTTCGTTAAATGAAATTACCTTCACCTTCAGTGGTGGTAAAACGTCTCGGTGCAGGTCCTTGGCTGCTCTGCCCAAGGGTCCCCCACCCCCTGCTGCCTGGGGCCTCCATCAGGGGCTCTTCTCCTTGTGTGTCTCAGCCAGGCCGGGCGGCCACGAGGGACCTGCGTGAAGAGGCTCGTTCGGGGGTAGGTCCCGACGCCTCAGCTCCTTTACGTGAAGCTGCTGGTGGCTCCTGGTTTCTGTGCTGACGGGGCTGCGTCTCGGGAACATCTACCTGTGACCAGGGCTCCGCAGCTGCCATTCAGCCAGCTGCGTCGAGGTCCGAGCTTCCCAGGTGGCCGTGTTCTTTCCTGAGGTCTTCTTTTCTTAGGGCTGACGGTGGCCGTGGACTCCTATTTTTGGCGCTACCTTGTATGGCCAGAAGGAAAGGTGCTCTGGTACAACACCGTCCTGAACAAAAGTTCCAACTGGGGCGTATCCTTCCAGTGTCTGCACAGTGGCCCACGGGGCGGGGCTGTGCGCTGAGCCACTCTCCTCCTGTGTCCGCACCTGATGGAGCACGGCGGCTGCTGCAGCGCCGGCACTGGCGCCTTCTTCCCCGCAGTCTGGGCCTCCCCTGGTCCAGTGGCCGCCACCCGTTGTCTGTAGCCGAGGTGTCTCCTTTGTCCTCGTGGGGATCTGCTTTTTTTCACTTTTTATTCTGGAGTAGTTAAACTCACGCAAATAGAATACTGAGTCCCGAGTGGGCCCATCACCCTGGGACAATCTGTTTTTACGGTGAAAAGTGGAGGGAAAAGTTAAAGAACTCTGCACAGCCCCACTCGCCATCCGCGGCCTGGCTCTGGCACCGACACCCGAGTCCCAGCCTCTGTCCGCGTGTTGAAGCGGTCACGCCGTGGCCCGAGGCGCGGGGGTCCCGGGTGCTGCAGGCAGGGGCGCCATCAGGGCTGCATCTCCCGCACGCTCCTGGCTCCCGCCTGAGCTCGGCCCGGGGACGGGCAGCTGTGGCTGGTGCGTGGCCTCCTTAACCCTCCTGCCGCAGACCTCGCCGCTGCTCTGGTACTTCTACTCGGCCCTGCCACGCGGCCTGGGCTGCAGCCTGCTCTTCGTGCCCCTGGGCGCCGTGGACAGAAGGGCCCTGGCACTGCTCCTGCCGGCGCTGGGCTTCGTGGCTCTGTACTCGCTTCTCCCGCACAAGGAGCTGCGCTTCATCATCTATGCCTTCCCCGTGCTCAATATCGTGGCCGCCAGGGGCTGCGCCCGCGTGTGAGTGCCACCACCGAGACGCTGCTGCCTGGGCTCCCCTGGGGGCGGTTTACCGGTTCACATAGGGGAAGGTGCTTAGGGTGAGCCAATGTGTTTAACTGGGCGCCTGGCCAGCCTTTGGTCAAGGGTCCAGCCCGAGTCTACAGGGCCCACAACTGGCCCGTAAAGGACAGATGCTGAGTGCCTCGCTCCGTGGGCTCCGCGGTCCTGCCTGCGCACTGTGACGGCGGCCTTATCCCGTCCGCTTCACCTCCACACAGGCAGCGCGGTATTTGGCCCGGAGGCTGCGCTCTGAGCCAAGTAATGACGTGGGATGCTTGAAAACGTAATCTCAGGTTTAAATTGGCGTCTGGGTGGGATTTCAGAGAGGCAGCGCCACGCCTGCCGCTTGGGGATGACTCGCCCGGCGACAGCGGCCGGCGGGCTTCTGCTCCGCTGCTGCGTTGCCTTTCCGCAAGGTGCACTGCTCTTTACAGGCTGACTAACTATAAGAAGTCCTGGCTGTATAAAGTGGGGTCCCTCCTCGTGATAGGACACCTCGTGGTGAACGCCACATACTCGGCCACAGGCCTGTACGTGTCCCACTTCAACTACCCTGGCGGCATGGCGATGCAGAGGCTGCACGAGCTGGTGCCCTCCCGCACAGGTAGGCGCTCGGCCCCCGCTACCGGCTGCGGCTCTGGCCAGAGGTGCCGGATTCGCAGCGCTAACCGAGCAGACGCGGTTTCCACAGATGTCGTTGTGCACATCGATGTGGCCGCTGCCCAGACAGGTGTGTCCCGGTTTCTGGAAGTCAACAGTGCCTGGAGGTACGTCCTCGTCTCGTGCACGGGCGCCCGGGGCCGCCACGGACCCGGCGGTGCACAGCCTTGCTCTCGTTTGCAGGTACGATAAGAGAGAGGACGTGCAGCCCGGCTCCGAGCGCATGCTGGCCTACACGCACCTGCTCGTGGAGGCCGCCCCCGCGCAGCTGGCCCCCTACCGGGACACGCACCGGGTGCTGGCCAGCGTCCCAGGCACGACCGGGCTGAGCCTCAACCTGAGCAGGTTGCCCCCCTTTGACGTGAACCTGCAGACCAAGCTGGTGCTCCTGGAGAGGCTTCTCGGGCCTCCCTGAGGAGGAGCCAGGGGCCCTCCAGAAACATCGGCAGGACGAGACGGGAAACGCGCAGAGGACCACGGGTGTGCCCTCACAGGGGCGCGGCCACAGCCACAGCCACAGCCGGGGCACCCACGTCCACGCTGCCCACCACTTGTGAGAACGAGGGACCTGGCACCCCTGCCAGGGTGACGCTGGGTGGGATGCTGTTCGCCGTCCAGACCGCAGCGGGGTGTGGATCTTCCCGCGGAGCTGCTTCTGGGCAGCAGGCCGTGGCCTCTCGGCCCCTGAGAGGTCGTCCCCCTGGGGCAGCGTAACCGCAGAACCTCAGCACCCAGCCCTCGGGGTGGGGCCTCCTTTGTGGTCACAGGCAGCCGTTTCCATTTCAGATGAGGCTTTAGGAGATAAACTCGTTCAAAAAGAGTGAGAGTCAAATTGTAAATGTCTTCTTATTGTGGATCTCAGGTGCTGCTTCCAGAGACTGCTTCCACCTGGGTTTTGTTTAAGTGATTTGGGCACCTTCCCACTTTGCTGAACAGTGTTTACCGAGTTCCTGACACGTGTCTGACTTCACCAGGCACTGAAGACGATGCAGGGAACTGAGTGCTTTGCCCGCATGCACACACACCGTGCACATGCACGCACACGCTACACACGTGTGCGTAGACACAGGCAGTCTTTCCTGAGCCATTCCAGAGGGAGTTGCCTGCACCTGACCTTTAGTTACTGTTTTTTCCACTGGAGCTGGCAAGCAGTCTGTGCGGGCCCCTCCCCAAACCTCCCCGACACAGCACCCGCTGGCGATTCCTGCCTGTTTCTCCCCGACACAGCACCCGCTGGTGATTCCTGCTGCGGCCGCCCGCCACTCAGCAGGCTCCCACCTTCCCCCGTTGCCTGTTTCTCATGAGCGTTTGTTACTTCCCTGTCATCGGCAGTTCTCAGTGTTTAGATGTGGCCCCCAGTCGTCAGCCTGCACGCGTGGACTGCTGCCGGATCTCGATGGGCCGTGAGCTGCCCTGTCGGTTGCCTTGGTGTTCAAACTGCAGATTCACCAGGGGGGCCTGTCAAGCCGTGCTGTCCCGGCTGCGTGCCCCGTCGTTAAGGTTTTGAGCACTTCCCTGCTTCCTGGCACAAGGAGTCCCACCCAGGCTCCTCGGGCCTCTCTGTCTCCACCCTGGAGTCGGCCGTTTGGAGGGCCCGGGCTCCTTCTGGCAGGAGCTGGTTTCAGAGACCGATATCTGGGTGCACAGTGCACGATATCTGTGCACCATGTGCACAGTGTGCTCACTGCTATCAGGACGCCTGTGTTTCTAGGCCCTTTCTTCGGAGAGAGAGGACAGGCGCGCCTGCACGTGGGCACACGCTTATGCACGTGCACAGGCGTGAGAGGTCACGGCACCGTGCTGACACCTCCAGTTCCACCCCATCTCTGTGGGCGTGTGTTTGCCTCCCTCATTCCACGTCTGCATGTCCTCTCCCTGCAGTGAGAATCCTGACCCCGACAACATCAACGTACGTTTGACCCGTGTCAAGGGACACCGACCCCCACGCAGTCGGAAATCCACATATAACCTTTGACCCCCCCCGCCAAGGCTTAATTACTAATAGCTCCTGTTGAGTGGAAGATTTACCCATAACATGAACGGTCGATGACACATATCTATATGTTACAAGTCAGATGCTGTATTCTTTCAATTATGTAAGCTACAGAAAAGAAAATGTTAATTAAGAAAATCATAGGGGGACTTTCCTGGTAGTCCAGTGGTTAAGACTTTGCCTTCCAGTGCAGGGGGTGCGGGTTCGATCCCTGGTTGGGGAGCTGAGATCCCACATGCCTCGCAGCCAAAAAACCAAAAACATAAGCAATATTGTAACAAATTCAGTAAAAAAAAGAAATCATAGGGAATTCCCTGGCGGTCCAGTGGTTAGGACTCTGTGCTTCCACTGCTGGGGGCCTGGGTTTGATCCCCGATCGGGTAACTAAGATCCTGCAAGCTGCGCGGTGGGCCAAAAAAAAAAAAAATCATAAAAAAGAAAATATTTGTAGTACTGTACTGTGTTTATCAACAGCATGAGTTTTTGTCATCTGTTTCCAAGATGAATAGTCAGTACTTACATCATTATTGTCTTAGACGACACGAAAGGCTGTAGATGTTACACGTGTAACTCATACTAGACATCAATAAGGAAAAGATAACGTGAAAAGGAAATTCACATTTATTTACAGGCACAACGATATGTGCATTGATGATGAAGCAGCAGCAACATGACTGCTTTATGGCTGCCTAGTGTGATCGATACGATCGCTCCCAGGTAGCCCGGCCTGTACACTAATGGATGGGTCGTCATAAAATTTTATGGCTTATAGTATTGCAGTCATATTCATAATACAGTATTGGGAACATTGTTACATTAAAAAGAAAACCTACGATGATAGACTGTTACACAGTTTCTCCAATTACGAGTCAGGGAGGGAGGGAGACTACCTAATTCTTTGAAAGCAAAGTTATAAAAAGCACATTGTTAACTTTAGTATCACTCAGCTTATGCCTGTGTGAGGATGGACTGTCCACTTCAATGTGTGTCTTACACGGTGTACAGCTGTTAGGTTTTCACATCGAGGCACACAACAGAGAGGTCTCTGAACCGCAGCGTGTGACTGTTCACTGTGCGTTACGTGGAGGCGGGTCGTCACAGGTCTTCATCCCCCTGGTCCTCACGCTGAGACTGGGGAGGAGGAAGCGGAGGGGAGGTCTTGCTGTCTCGGGCGGCAGAGCCGTGGGGGGTGGAAGCAGGGGAGGCCGGTGCACTCGGTGAACTTGGCAGAAACACATCAGTCTCTGCCCGACTTTTTTGCTTTCTCATTTCTCTAGAGTGTTTCTGTCTACTACCAATCCTTCCACCGTTTGCGTTAGCTTTAGTACCCGTATCACGGAGGGGTCCATATTGTAAAACAAGTCAAAAGTCGTCTTGACTCATTGGAACTGTTCTGCCAGGCAGTCTGATGTCAGTTTGTTTCCTGGCGCTGCTTCTTCTGCGCCTGTCTCATTGTCTGCCTCCAGAAGCCCTCATCTATCTCCATCAGGTTGTCTTCTGTGGGTTCCTCCGGTGTGCTGCCTAGTAGCCCTTGAAATTTTTTTTTTTTTTTAGACTGTGCCACGTGGCTTGTGGAATCTTAGCTCCCCAACCAGGGATCGAACCCAGGCCCCTTGTAGTGGAAGCTCGGAGTCCTAACCACTGGACCACCAGGGAAGTCCCAGTCCTTTAATTTCTTGAAGACCCATATCTCGGAACCGTTCACCCCTCCGCCCACTTTATTTGCCAAACCCACAATCTCTTTCATGATTTCCTTGATTGATTTATTTATTTTTGGCTGTGTTGGGTCTTTGTTGCTGTGCGTGGGGTTCCTCTAGCTGTGGTGCGTGGGCTTCTCATTGCAACAGCTTCTTGTTGCGGAGCATGGGCTCTAGGCGTGTGGGCTTCAGTAGTTGTGCCATGTGGGCTCAGTAGTTGTGGCTCACGGGCTCTAGAGTGCAGGCTCAGTAGTTGTGGCACGTGGGCTTAGTTGCTCCGCGGCATGTGGGATCTTCCCGGACCAGGGCTCGAACCCGTGTCCCCTTCACTGGCAGGCGGATTCTTAACCACTGCACCGCCAGGGAAGCCGCCCATGATTTCCTTGATTGAGTGTGTCATAAATCCTGTGAAGTCATGCACAGCATCTGGACGGTTCTCCAGCAGGAATGTATTGTGGGCTTGATGGCTCTCACGGCTTTTTTTTTTTTAATAACAACGATGGCATCCTCAGTGGTATGATCCTCCCGGACCCTCAGACTCTCACGACGTTCTCTGTATCAGGGTTCTCTTCCATAGCGTTGACGATCCTTTCCACACAGTGTCGTGTGTAATGAGCCTTGAAGGTCCTATGGCCCCCTGACCTACAGACTGAATAGAGACATCGTGTCTGGGGGAAAGCAGACCACTTCAGTGCCCTCGGTGTTGAACTCATGGGGTTCTGGGCGGGCAGGCGCGTTGCCCAGTATCAAAAGAACTGTAAAAGGCAGTCCCTTCCTGACAAGGTGCTTCCTGAATTCAGGGACAAGGAATCGATGGAACCGGTTGCCCAGGCCCTTTTGATGTCCAGTGAAAGACCGGCAGCTGCTGCTCCTCTTCTCCCTGCAAGGCTGGGGGTCAGAGCTTTACAGATGAGCACAGTCCTGGCCGTAAACCCGACCACATTTGTGCAGGATAATCGAGACAGCCCATTCCTTCCTGCCTTAAATCCTGCTGCTTGATTCTCCTTACTGATGAATGTCCTTTGTGGCATTTTTTCCCAGAATAGGGCAGTTTCATCTGTATTAAAAACTTGTTCAGGCAGATGTCCTTTCTACCCAATGATTTTCTTCACAGCGTCTGAGAACGTGTCTGCGCCGCCTCTCCCGTTACCTTGACATTTTAAAGCCAAATCTCTTTCTAAAATCATCAAACCATCCTTTGCTGGCATTCAAGTCTCCAGCTTTACAACCTTCCCCTCACTTTCGCTTAAGTTGTATGATGACTTTGCTTTTTCTCGAATCATTCTTAGATTCTATATAGGTGCACCTTTCTTATGGCAATCCTGCGCCCGCCTAAAAGCTGCTTTTTCAAATAAAAAGGTATTTCACAAGAAGTGCAAGGTTTTCTGCCTGCTGGTGTAGCTGCAGTGCCAGCTTCATGGATTTCCTTTCCTTTTTTACATTCATCTTGAAGTGGCGGCAGCCGCAGCTGCAGACCTCACTCTGCGACGCACATCAAGCCATTCAGCTTTTTCTCTTCACGTCTTCCTCTTCTCTGCGTCTTGGGAGTGCTTGCAGCATTGCCAGGGCACTTCGTGGGTCCCGTGGTGGTGGTCAAGGTTCCCGGTGTTGCACTAAATACAATGAAGTAATCCGCAAGAACCAAAAGAGATTGCGGTTTACTGGAGAGACCACCTGCTCCGGAGGGGGTGAGCGCACACGGCGTTGTAGGCGGACGCGGGGAATACGCGCGCGGGAAGCAGCAGCAGGGGTGGCTGCAGCATTATTACTGTAGGTGCTACAGTTAATTCATGCAGTGAGGACTTCATACGGCATCTTTACGTTTGCTTCCTTTCTCTGCACTTCAAATGGAGCCATGTGTTGTGTGCCTCAGGTTTGTTTTTTTAAAAAATAAATTTATTTATTTATTTTTGGCTGCATTGGGTCTTCATTGCTGCGCGCGGGCTTTCTCTAATTGTGGCGAGCGGGGCTACTCTTCATTGCGGTGCACGGGCTTCTCATTGCAGTGGCTTGTTGCAGAGCACGGGCTCTAGGCACACGGGCTTCAGTAGTTGTGGCACATGGGCTCAGTAGTTGTGGTGCACGGGCTTAGTTGCTCCGCGGCATAAGGGATCTTCCCGGACCAGGGATTGAACCCATGTCCCCTGCATTGGCAGGCAGATTCTTAACCACTGCGCCACCAGGGAAGTCCTGTGCCTCAGGCTTGATACATTTTGGCTTTATATCATAAATTCATGTATGTTTTATGGTAGTAACTGATAAAATAGACTAACATCTACATGTTTTATGCATTCATGACACACCTTTTAAATTTTTTCAATATTTGTAGGCCACGTGGTTCATCTGTGAGTTTTTTGAAGCTGTCGAAAGTCTCCAAAAACTTTTCCAATATATTGAAAACAATCCACGTATGAGCGGACCGTGCAGTTCGACCCTGTGTTGTTCAAGGGTCAACTGTGATTGCTCAAGATGATAAATAGTTTCGGGATCCCTTTGCCATACAAACAAGACGTCT